TGCAAATAATTATCAAAAATAAGGAGTAATAATAATAATTTACGTTGACCACAGGTAAAAGTATGTATCTTGCCAGTGAGGGATATATTCCTTCAGAGGAGACGCAATCATTCTCACCAATGGTATATTATTGGCTACGAAATCTAGCACACGTTCAATTCGCCTTTGTGTGTATCGTTCATAGAAGGGTGAACGTGCAAGATATAACAATAGGTTAACGCTTCTACGTGATAATTCCAGTTTCTGTTCCTTGTTCATCAATTCACGATTTTTATAATAGAGTCGTATACTCAATAAGTCTAATAATAATGAAACTGTGTATTGCTTCCATCGCTTTTCACCAAACACACCGATAGCAGCTAGATGTATTAGTGGTTTTGCTATATATAAATACTCCGCTTTTAATAGCGCTTGCGATTTATCTGTATTAAAATCAATTGTGCGGCATTCATTCAGTGCTTTTTCTTCTTTTAACACACTTAAGCTTCTATACTGCAAAGGTGGAGCTCCTTCAACTTTGCGTATAACGCGTCCAGATCGCTTAAGTTGTAATGTGATGCTATGTTCCTCTACAAGGTTTTTACTACCATTCGCATTTGCTATGCCATTACTTCTAAGCTGCTGTTGTTGTTTTTTCATAACACGTCTATTCAAACTTGGTAACGCTGGTGATCTTATTATTTTGTCAGTGGAATGTTTCAGTATAAAAAAACGTCCAGCAGCTTTTACGAATTGAATTAAAGCAATAAATATCCATTTACCCCTGTTTCCAAAAATACGTTTCGCAGATATTTCAATAAACACTTCACTATATTCTAACGTGGTTAATATGACCTTTAACCGATAGCAAGTGCTATTACTTTTCGGTGAGTTTTGCTCGACATGAGGCTGCGACTGAGCAATAATGCGATCATTGTAAAGTACTAACATATTGGATAGAGTGTATATTAACTCGGACACAACATTCGAATCCGAAATGCGACCTACGATATAGAAAAAATCGTAGATGTTCAATAATATTATTTGCTTAATAATTTTTTACCTGCAATAAAATACGACACCCATTTCGACGTTGTTTCCAAATCGCATACTATGTCGGGATTAGACGCAACCCACTTTTCGTAGGATAGTATAAGATTTTTTAAACTATTCATTATACTCAATTTCTTATTCTAATTCTATGGATATATATATTTCTTATAATAATCTTATCAAATTATGCACTAAGGCCTTAATAATCTACATCGGAATAAAAATCACTGCTGGTAAATTGCTAACAGTGTTGGAAAAGCACAAAAAACTGTTAACATTGTTACTAACAGAAATTTAATTCCATTAAACATGTTTATACTTCATTATACGCAATCATAAATTAGCGTTTATTGCAAATTGATGTTTTTATTTAAATTAGGCCGTGTGCGAGTTGGAGTAAATTGAAGTAAAGTTAATTAAAATTTCCTAGAAATTTTTTGCATTTTTGCATTTTTTGCACTGCACTTATGTAAATATTTATTTATTTATTGTTTGCACTTATTTATTATTTTTGGTTAAAAGTTTTTAAATTTATTTGTTTATTTGTTAAGCATCTTTTAAAATTTTCACAATGGTAGTATCTAATTTACCTAATTTTTATCTAATTTACCCTACTCGATATTCTGATAAATACGAACATTCGCCAGCATACCGAAATAATTTACTATTTCCCTCAATTTACTCGAACTCGCACGCGGCCTTACTAGTAAATATATAGGAATATATAATGAATAAAAACTTGTAATACAAGCAAAAGCACTACATTGTTATATCAAAATTTTAATTTCTTAAATTCATCAAAAAAAGTCCAGAAATGACAGAATTAAAATTACTTTTTTTCAAATTAATACTTAACAATAAAGGATGAATAAAAGAAAATAATTGATCTTGTTCAAAATAGCAACTTTTTTCAATTTTACATTTTATAATATAATATTCACCACTCATACTAATAAAAATCCAGAAATGTTTTTGTCTTCTTAATAAAGTTAAAGAAAGCGTTTTTTATATGTTCCTATTGCTCTTCTTATATTGTTTGCATTTTCTTCGCTTTCCATGATAATTGAAATTTAATTAATTTCTACTAACAATTCAAAGCTAAAAACATCTGTCAACAATTGAAATGTAAATATGTAAACAAAAGCTCTTCTAAAACTTCCACAGAACTTTCTGACACATAGGCCGTGTGCGAGTTCGAGTAAATTGATGATAAATTGAGGGAAATAGTAAATTATGTCTGTATAGCAGCGAATGTTGATATTTATCGGAATATGGAGTACTGTAAATTAGATAAAAATTAAGTGCATTAGGTGTTATCAATTTAAAAATTTTATGAGATGTTTAATAAATAAATAAATAAATTTAAAAAGTAAATAAATTTAAAAATAATAGTTAAGTGCAATAAATAAATATCTACATAAGTGCAGTGCAAAAAATTCCTAGGATATATCAATTTACTTAACCTCAATTTACTTCAACTCACACACGGCCATAAAAGCTATTTCACATGAATAAATCAACTTATGCCAATTGGAACGACCAAATTTTAATTTGATTAATATAACTTGATTTAGTTGCAGTGAGAATGTGGTATAAAACTTATTGGAAATATAATTTAAGGCTTGTGTGAACATAGCATATGACAACATTGATTTTTTAGAACAATTTTTTAGTACTAATTTAGCATAAATTGCAACACTGGTTATTGTTTGTCAAAAACAGCAGCTCACTTTCACTTACCCGGCAATCGTTAAAGTGGCAGGTTGAATTGATTTGCGAGAGTGCGTGCGAAGACTTTAAATACGAAAATTAATAGTGAAATATAGTTAAGAAATTGTTAAATTCAATAAAAAGAAATTAATACAGAACAAAGGTTCTTCATACAAATATTTACAACTTTTCCGAAAGTAGTTGTTTAATAAAAGTGGTGTTGCGCAACTCCACTGTCCATGCTGTGTTGATACTGTTACTTACGTCCAACGTGTTGCGGTTATAATTTTAATTAATAATTCTTTTCTATTAAAATGAAAAAACGTTTAAGTAATCGCGATTTACAAGAAGATTCGCCGAATAATGAAAGAAGTGTAAATGTGGGTGTAACCACAAACATAAAATCTGGTGCGGCAAGTGCGCCAACCACTCCCACCAAATCGCGCTCCCAGACAAAAAACATGAGCTTAGATAAAATGGCAGAAACTTTTATTATCGTAAACGAACGTCCTGTAGATGATATATCATTAGATTTCTTCTACAAGCCACATACGATTACATTATTAGCCGTTTCAATTTTAGCTGTCATGTATTTCGCCTTTATAAGGTAAATAGACTCTAGTTTAAGGTATAGATATTGATTTTTTTAGTCTCAACAAATTCGCCGAGCTTCATTTCTTAAAGATATAATTCACTGTTAGGTTTATGATATAAGTAACATAAATGAACTTAATTTTTTAGACATATTCTTGAGGTTCCTTTGGGTATATACAAAATCGTGTAAATATGTAAAAATGTTTGTCTGATGCAAACAACTCACTATCATGACATGCTATCCATGCCATGTCTTACGTTTTTATCTATCCGCTTTGATTGCCGTTCCACACAAGTATAATCAAAACAAAATACAAAACTGCATTGGGCTCGAGCAATGCGCATGGCCATTCATACCCATATTTTGATAATCTGTATTATGGAGGCGCCACATAACATCTTTTTTTTTTGGTTTGCAGAAGCACTTTCGGACAAATATTGTGTTAGTTTCTGATACGCGATTTTTACAAATCGTTCCACTAAATTATAGTTAATTAAAAATAAATAAGTTTTTATAATAATATTCTTATGGACTAAATGGACAATTTTTTCACTGTATTCAAATCTTATATAAAAGCATAACAATTCTAAAATAATTGGCATGCCAATCAACATTTTCAAGGAGTTTCTAAAATGGATACGTAAGTGTGGAACCATTAGGAAACTGAAATTAAAAGAATCAAAAAAGTGTAGTGTCGTGTACATAACGTGTGGGCCATTAATTTATGGATAAGCCACCAAAGTCCATGTTATAATATATTTCTGTTGTTTTTTTCTTTTTTATTTAATTTAATATTTTTTTATTACAATTAACTTTTTTATTTCAAAATTACCCTCTTTACACCACGTGTTTTATAAAATTGCTTCAAATTAACTTAAATCAATTTAACAGAACGAAATCAGCAGCAATTTTATCTGTCGGTCAAGAGGTTCTTTGAGATACGACCTTACATCACGTCATTTATTACTTCAATCAAAAAAGTGAAAGAATTTAGTTAATTTCAACAAATTATCAGTTACAAGAATGGTTTTAATATGTAAGACATGTTCTCTAACTTTTAAACACAAAGAAAGTACCGATTTGCAATCAAAATGACAAATCCAAGAGATATTTACTAGAATCAAGAAACAAAAAAAGCATAAAGGATATGTATTGTTAATTTAGTTCCAGTAAAAATCATAAAAATG